TAAATTGTACCAATAAAATTAAGTTTTTAAAAACTACCTCATAGACAAAAACATCAAAAGCAAATCAAATCTGGGAAATTAAATTTACATATACTGGGATAGAAGGGATTATTTTACTATATATAATTTAAGCCATAAAAATCAGTACCAAAACATAAGCAATCACAGAAAATATGTAAAGGTCTTTAATAGATATCTCATAGGAAACACATATCCATTTAAACTAAGATATAATGCTCAAATTAGACTTACTCAACTTCAATTAGAGCAGACCATGAATTATCTAATCAGGTTTCCATATGTCATATTGTCATTATCAAGGGCTGTTTGTTGAGAACGTGGGTGAACATATTCTCATCTAGGGTGTGCAGTGACATCTTCCGGCAAGTTCATGGGTGGCATCTTCTCAGTAACTGAATATCAGCATTTTAAAAATGTACACCAGCTGACTCTACAAACAGTTCTGTACACAGAAAAGAAGCCACTCGTGTGTATATGTAAATATGCTTATATCTGCCAAGAATAAATATGAGGTGTGCTCAGGAAAAAAGTGAATGTTTAAAGAAAATGTTTTCAAATGATTTCTTGAAAGACACATTTCTTTTAATGTCCCAGACAAAAAAATACTCCTTACTTCAAACACACATCCTATCATTCTTGTCACTCTCTGAAGCAGTTCTTTGTTGTTTTTTTGTTTTGTTTTGTTTTTTTTGGTATCGGGGATCGAACTCGGGTCCTTGTGCTGGCGCGGCAGGCAGCAAAACCACTGAGCTAAATCCCCGGCAACCAGTTCTGAGAGTCCTCTTTCCTGAGTATCTTTCTGATATGTCATCAAAATTAGGATGAATGCTTTGGCAGTGTGTCATCCACAGGAAAGCAAGGCTCCTAAAACATTAAGACGTGTCCTCATTCAGCCTCACTGGATCTCGCACCGTGCACTTTTTTGCTCTTCTCTAAAGTCAAAATGACCACATGAGGTAGAATCAACTTGGATAAAACAACAGTGAAGTAAACAACATCCCTGAGTGACAGATCAGCAAGGAAGGGTACATGGAGCCAAAGGACAGTCTGGCAGGGCAGGCACTGCTGTCACAATGGAGAAGGCTACCCACCATTGTCACAACAGAGAGGAGTAAAAGCACAACAAATAATGTCTTGGGTCCCTGCAGACAGAATGAGACTCAGAAGAGCAAATTCTATGACGTTCTACTGTGTCTTATTCACTCTGCTTAATACTTATTTTTAGAGACTCCAGCTTAGGACAGCCAGACCTGCCACAAAGCTGGAAAGGAAATAAATCTATTCTGTCCTAGAGCATGTCTTTGTCATTGTGACTCCTCCAGGAAACATTTATCAAGTGTCAGTTCCATTCCTTTTCCAACAGCACAACAGACCTGTTATTGATAAACTCTAGTAATATGGTTCTGTTTGATCTTTGAGTAAGGCTCTATCTCAAAGCCTTATGGATCTCTACAGAGTAGATAAAGTCTTTACAGCTATGCACGTGTTTATGAACTTTTTGTTTCACGTTATTTTTTGGAAGAGAAGTCAGAAAAGACAAACAGGGGAAGAGTATCTGCTTTCAAGAAACCTACTGCCTAGTCAGGGGATTAAACCTAAATACACAAAGTAACATACAGTGAGTCCTTGAATTGGTAGTATTGTGAGGAATAATTGTACAATATGATCTAAGCAACATACAAAATGACACCTGTTTTGAACCATCCAAACCAATATCTGATAATGTACTATGAGGTGTCCTTAATCCACAAACCATAAATATACACTACACAGCTCGCCAGTAGATATTTTGCCAAGCAAGGTGCTGACAATACATCCAGTTGTCATTCTTATTCCCAATATTTTATTTTAAAATGATATATATTTATGATTTAATTATTATTTTAATTATACATAAAACATGGTGATAATTGTTAGCAGCAAATGATGTGTAATGCTCAACTTGGGGTAGTTTGCATTTTCATCTCCTTAAACTTTAAAAATATGATTAAAACATAAACATATATTTCTGTTGTATAGTGTGATAATTTCGTATGAGTACACAGCATGTACTGATCACATCATGGTAATGAATGGTTCCACCTCCTTGCCATGATTTTATAGTTGGAAAATTCGAGCTCAAACATTGCAGCAAATTGGAGCAGCTCAGTGCTATAGCCAAGTGGTACAGCTCAGTGTTGCAGCCAAGTGCCAACGTTCTGAGGCACAGCTGAGCTTTACAGCTCTGTGTGGCAGCTTTGGGTCACAGCTCTCACAATTTGAAAACTCGAGAATCCAATGGTCACTCCAAGAGGTAGAAAAAACCTTCATTTTGCTGACGGGCTCAGAGGAGTTTGTACTCAAAGTCTGAGTGCTCTACCGGAAATGAGAGCCTCCTTACATAGGGATCTACATGGTAGGTGAGTATGCTCACTGAAGCAAGGGGCACGGTTACAGAATGTTCCTGAAACACATGCTGTATGACCATGCTCACTGAAGCAAAGGGGCGGAGTTACACAATATTCCTGAAAGGTCACACAGTTCAAACTGTCACAAAACATTTTGATACACTGGGCAAGAGTGCAACACAAACTGTTAACATTTCTGGAACAAAACATTCTATGGTGAAAAAAACATGGAGGCAAAGCAAGGGATTGTCTTATTCCATAGTACTGCTCTATCACCAATATTAGTGGAATGCAGATTATTAAGTAATTAAAGGGCCAGAACATATGTTTCAGTTGACAGTGACCTCATTCATGAAATCTGTATGACATTTTCTCTGTGATTCTGGCTTGAAACAAAATGTTAGCTATGTATAATATGTAGAAACATGTTTTAAGAAATTCTTTGTTTTTGATTCCCTTTATTTGCTTGGATTTATAGGGTTGTAAGGCTATGGGATAATGGATGTATTTCATTGAAAATGACACTGTATGAAGAAATCTCAATCATGATTAAATCAAATTTTATCATGCGTGATTTTCAAATATAGTGATGTTATGAATTCTTTGCTGAATGGTTTGTATATTTTCATGGGTCTCTAAGTTCCCTGAAGTCAATAAAAGTTAATTTTCTGTGCACACTGCTCCTTTCACAAGATTCGGAAAATGAAAAGTATAACCTCTCTCACCTGTGTGATCCATTTCTCACTCTCTTGGAATCAGAATCTTTGCTGAAAAATTTTTACTCTATCTGCCACATGGTTCTTTTCAATGAGGGAGAGAATACTGAGGGAAAGGCTCTGCATTTCCAAAGAATAACATATTGGTACAGTTCATCCTTATGGAAAATATTCAAGTGTAAACATATAATTTACGTGGTAGTATAGAAAGTTAGAGAACATTATCAGTATTTTTTAAAAGTGCCATAGGAAATATTCAGGACAAAAAAACAAATTTTGTTTACTTGCTTTCCTACAAATTTTTTGTTTATTAATGCAAGAGAAATTCTATTGAAACCATTTGGCTGATCCTGCCATTTCATCATCCAACCTCACTCACACTGTGCTGACACTTTTCATTTAATGAAGGAGTTCTCTTCCTGTGATTAGGTTGTTAATTACATTGGTCACTAAGGCAGGAATTACATATAGTATGTACATTACAATATTTGGTAAATAGAAATGGTCAAAGGAAACTTCAATTTGTTGACTTTTTTTCCCATTAAGTTTATTAGTACATTTTAGGTATACAGTATAGTTACATTCATCATTGGGAACTTGTCCCTTTAGGTGATGCATCTTTGTTCCTATTTTTTCCCCATTCCCCTGCACTTTCTTCACCCCCCCTCCCCTCCCTATTTACAAAGGCTTTGTTTCCATTTTTTCCCTTTTCTCATATTTTTTCTTTTCACTTCTTTTCTTTCCCCACCCTTCTCACTTCTACTCCTTTAGATCTTTTCTTCCTATTTCACAAGATCAATTATACATTTTGTAACTGTACTGTATACCTAAAATGTACCAATAAACTTAATGGGAAAAAAGAGTATGGCTTCAATGTGCATCCACTTAGCTATAAATGTCTCTAGTTTCTAGTTCTTTATCCAACTTGTTGACTTTGTTTTTATTTGCATAACTCTTACATGAAGAACATAAAACTACAGTACTGTATTGCACAGTAAAATCAGCAACAATTGCAGTACTATGTAAACAAGGTGTACTGTACAAAAAGAAAGACAATGAGACTTTATAAACAAACTGTACAAAACTGCACAAAAAAGGCAGGTTGTAAGTCCAGGGGGTGAGTCATAAGCCCAAACAGTGGGCCTCAGTCTTAAATCAGAAAATTTGTTAATGAGGTAGGTCATTAAATCAAGAATATCTGTATCATACCAAGATTGGTGATGATTTTTTTTCCCCATCTACATGGGCACTGCCCTCTAGTGGCAATTTTCACCAGCAATTAAAAAAGTGATCCAGCTATGGTTACACTTAGAATTTGAAGAAGAATCATTTCATCAAATAAATGAATGCAGTGGACCACAAACACCGTGCCCTGGGCAATGTACAGATTTTTTAAATTAAAAGTAAAGAAAAAAGAAAGAATAAAAATGAACCTCTTATGTGTTCCCCACTTTGCAGTCAATCTCTTGTTTCCCATTCACTCATCTTTAGACAATGATGACACGTAATCATGCAGAAATGAAAAGTAGAGAATTAAAAGTTCTAGAAAAAGTGATGAAAAGAAATCCTCACCTGCAGACTATGATGATCTGTGTCACTGTGCAAATGCACTCCTGCCCCTGTCTTCCTTCAGAATTTCTTGGATGCAACATACCAACTCATCCCGTAGCACAGCAGCAGAAACTAAACTTATGACTACCCGTTTAAAAGATTACGAATATATATCATTTACTAAGTTCAGCCTAAATTTAGAAGTAGAAACTAAAGATCATCAATATATGGTATGTCTTTTGGGGTACAAATTGTAGGACATTACTGGATTTACTCAAAAGTTTATAGAAATGTGAAACTGATATCATTAGTGATAAATAAAGAAGAGCTCCTGAATATTTTTAATTCATGCTACACACTTGAAATGATAATATCTATGTATGCACTGGTAAAAAAATGCAAGACTACTCTCAGCTGGACCCACTAGAGCTGAAGAGAGCTTTATTTTGTTCACAACAGATAGGAATTTATGGACTAAAGAGTCAAATTTACAAAAGTCCTAGTGAAAAAATGCTGACAGGCACTTAAACCATGGGAAATTCCTCAGTGAAATAATACAACTCAAGAACTAAATTCCCAAACATTACTTTGGTCTTTTTTTGTCAATATTCAGGACAGAGGTACTCTCTCTTACTTAACATTCTTCCCCTGGTATCAAACCATGGTCACACATAACAATGGTTCCAGGGATAAAAACCTATTAAATCACCAGGACTGGGTCAAGGCAAACTCCACCCAGGGCCAAAGTCATACCACTGCCTTGTTAGGCTACTACCTTGGCTGCCTTTCTTCTTAAAAAAATAATGGAGGGTTTAACTCACAAATGTGGAGCCTTGTAAACATTAGGCTGCTGTTCAATACCTTGGGAAATGGATTCATTCTAATTGTACAGTTCAAAAACAGTAGTAATATTGTGCTTGGAACAAAGAGAACCAGTTATTAACTTCTTGCTACTGTTACAAGTAATAAGAGCTCACCCCAGCTTGCTGTGACCTCTGAAAGATCAAGGAAACAGGTTATTTTCTCCTCTTGTGATTATACCACATTGTAAGACTTCCAGCCTTTTAATAAAGGTGCTGATACTCCGAGTTTCCCTTTCAATTCATTTTAATTTCAGCAATCAGTCAAAAAGAAACAATAAACAAATGAGTTACATTTTGATATATATATTTTTTTGGTACAGGGGATAGAACTTGGGACCTTGCACTTGTGAGGCAGGCTGCAGAACCACTGAGCTAAATTCCCAGCCCTCATTTTTCAAAACCTGAAACTGGAGACATAAAAAATATCTTGTGTCTCTCTCACCCTGACCAGCCTGCTCCTTTTCCAAATACCAAGGCCCCCCATAGATACAAAGTCAAAGGGCTAAGCTGGCAAGGTCTCCTTGGAGTCCATGGACCAGAGGGTGACGAACCCTGATGGTTCACTATGCACAAGATGTTCTCTGTGGGATTGGAATTCTTTACTACAAAGAAGGAAGCCTCAATGACCAAGATCAGGAACAGTGTTGATAACAAATGTAGCTTCATAATGAGAAACTTCCTTTTTCTTCTACAAGCTTCTAACCCCTTTCTCCTTTTCAGACATCTCTCTGTCAACTTAGAAAGATTTTGAGTCACTTCTTTGGAACCGCATCCTCTTTCTTCTGTGCCACTTTGTACTTGAGAACAATTTTACATTCTTGTTCACAAAGGCTAACCAAGGTCGTCATACTGTAGAGAACAGAAGACTGAAGATCCATATGCCATGTACCCCAAAATAATCAGATAAATTGCATCTGAAGAACACTGCAGAAGACTCTTGAGGTTGAGGCTAAAATCCTGCAGGGCACGTCCTCCAGCACTGTGGCTTACAGCTTACTTTGTAGTTATGGTAGAGTAGGAGCCCAGAGACAGGAAGGCCAGGGGGACTCACAGCCACTAGAGGCCTCTCAGTTTCCAGTAGTCTGAAAAATGTATAATGATCATTGGTAGAATTCACATAATAAATGTTCTCCATTATGTACAATTATTAAACCCAAGTGAATATTTAGTTTAATGAAATAATCACATGTGGCTTCTTTGGAAGAAGAAATTCTCTTCATGGAACACAAATGATATGATTCTGTCACTTCATGTTATTTTCTAGTCCAGAGCTTCTTCATGGCACTTTTCATCTCTGCATTTCTCAGAGTATAGATGAGGGGGTTCAACATTGGAGTGATTACAGTGTAAAACACAGCTAAGTACTTATCAGTGGGCAAGGTAAATGGAGGTCTCACAAAGAGAACAACGCAAGGAACAAAGAAGAGGATCACCACAGTGATGTGGGAGCCACAGGTGGACAAGGCCTTGCCCCTGCCTTCCTGACTCAGGTTCTTCAGTGAGTGCAGAATGACCCCATAGGAGATTAATAAGAGAGCAAAGATGACTGTACAGATCACCCCATCATTGGCCACCACTGTGAGGCCAGTAATGTATGTGTCAGCACATACGAGTTTTAATAAGGGGTACATGTCACAGATGAAGTGGTCGATGACATTGGAGCCACAGAAGGGAAGGTTATAAACAAACAGAATGTGCAGTATGGCATGCACAAAACCCCCAACCCAGGCCAACACCAACAGTAGAACACACACTCGGTGGTTCATGATGATCAGATAATGCAGGGGTTTGCAGATGGCCACATACCGGTCATAGGCCATGACAACCAAGAGTATTATCTCAGCACCACCAAAAAAATGTTCTGAAAAAAGCTGAGTCATACACGCTTGGAAGGAAATGGTTTTCTTGACATGGAGTAGGTCTACCATCAAATTTGGGGTAGCTGCATTAGAATAAGCAACATCCATAAAGGATAAGTAGCCAAGAAAGAAGTACATTGGAGAATCCAAGGCTGGGCTAAGCACCACAGTCACCATAATGAGTAGGTTGCCTGCCATTGTCACCACGTAGATCAGCAAGAACACTGCAAATAATACTTTCTGACCCTGGAGGCTCTGAGTGAGGCCCAAGAGCACGAACTCAGTCACGTTGTTCCTTTGTTCCATCCGTCTTTCTGCCTGTCCTCCTATAACTTCTCAGAACAAAACTGTCTAGAGAAAGAATTATTACTAGTAAGTTTAGAATATTTTAGGATGCTTATTCATTCCTTAATTAGGCATTATAAATATCTGTTCCTGAGCTGTCATTTTTATAAGGATTCAAATTTGTTGAAGGATGGAGCCTAACTTTAGGGATCTTATAAAATAATCATGGCAGAAATAGAAAAACAGAGACCTGTGAGCAAAAGACAGTCTGTGAAAGAAAAATGAGTTTCCCTCAACTAGCTTGTGTCTGGAAGCTAATGGAAGTGCACACAGTGCTAACACCATAAATAAAAAAGAAAGATGTGTTAAATATTTAATATAAAACAACAGCAAGACTTATTTTATATTTACTTCTTGGTAACAAAGTAAATGTGATTTTCTACATTTTAGGGATAGAAGGACCTTCTCAGGTAATAGAAATTTCAGGTTGACACATTTGACAATTTTATAATATTTTAAGAATGTACTAAAGGGTTCAATAAATAAATGCACAAAAGCAGTTTAGAGAAGAGGAGAGGAAAAGACAGGAGAAGACTGGAGGAAAGGGGAGGCGAGCAGGGCAGTGAGAGAGATGATGAAAGACAGAGCAACGGGAAGGCTGCACACAGAGAAACAAAACTGCTGTAAGCAGAATCATCTTCACTAGTATAACATTCCCTCTTAAATAACCATAGTAATGACTGTTGCTCTCTAAATCTCTACTGACGTTTACTTCAATCTTCTTTATCATTTTTGCCCTGCTCCCTCTTCATAGACATGGAACATCTTTCTTTTTAACTGTGGCCCATGTCTCTGCTTGTGCTGTTGATTTCTTTTTTATTACTCCACACTCTGCTCTTCCAGTCTTTCCCTCTGGTTCCTACATCCTTATTTTACTGCCTGTATTGCAGCCTTCTGTTAACATATTTACATGGTATATCATTATATTTAAAAATTCTATCATTGACTCCACTTCTCTTTCAAGCGAACATCCAAATGCAATTCTCTGTTTACAATATACAAACCATAAGTCCAAAGTCAGTTTGACTTCTTCTCTTAATTGACACAACATTCTTGTGAATTAACCCAAAAGCTCACTGAGTCAAGTATGTATTACATTACATTCCCTAGAGTCACTCTTAACTTCTACAGATGCTAAGTCATACTTAATTTTTAACATTTCAAACAGTATTCCGAAGACAGCTCCACTGACACAATCAAAAAATTGACAAATCCCTGCTCACCAAGAGTCTCCCAAATAGTTACATGTGTAATTAACTTGTAAGAATACTGATTAGTAGAGGAGGGAAATTTATTCTATATTTATATAAATTTTAAATATGCAAGAGAAATGTTCAATATTGGAATCAATATACACAGGTCTTAGCAATAACAAAGGACCACAGCATGTAACTACCAGAATCATTTAGAACTTATTAAAGACTGACTACCTTTGTCATCAGTGTACATAGTGAAAAGCCTCCCTCAAACTCATGCAAGTACATGACCATCCTGAGTTACCTGCACAAGGACAGAGTCATTTGTTCCCAGCTCTGTATTCTGCTGCTTCTCCTTGGCGCTAACCAATAACAGCTTCATGCACCAATGCCCTCTTCCATATGTAGAAAGCAAAATAATGCAGGCACCACAGCTGCACCTTGGAATATTTCCAGTGACCAATTCTTTCCATGCTTTCAGGAAGGTTGATTCCTAAGACATTTTTAAAAATTACTTTCAAACCTGTTGAAAATTTTAAAACTAATATTAACAATGTCTGGTAACCTCCAGAAATCTGAATCTTTTATACAGAGACACAGATCTTTATTTTTGGCAAAATTCATCCTTAAAACAAATATTAAATAAGCATTTTGAGGTTTCAAACATTAAGTTCTGCAGTAAAAGGAATCATGAATAGCTAAGACATGTATTTGGAATTTCTATTTTAAAAATTAAAACAATGATCTAGCCTTCAGAATATTTGGATTTCCAGTCTGGTACAGGGGCTTGACTTCATACACCATAGTTGAATTTGGGACTAAATAAAGAATGAAGAAAAATTGAATCCCTATTCTATCATGCCTTGAATATATCATGTTTAATGATAATAAAATATTTATGTATATACTAGTATAAACAAACATTCCTTGAGGTAAGGACAAAGACTTTGGGCACTTTATCTGTATTTCAAACACATTGCATATTATTGAATCATTCTGTTGCTCTATCTCAATGGGAGATGTTTCCTTAATTAAACCCAGTGAGATCTTAAGCAGTATTCTGAGAGTAGGCAATACACTGAGAGGTAAGAAGAATAAAAATATCTGGAATAACATTTCCACAGACAAGGCCTCTAGGGGAATTATCATAATTGAACAACTTGAAGTCACATCACCAACAGTGAAAAATCCAGTCTCGGCAGAACTGAAATATATAAAATACTCTTATTAAAATCCTTTCTTGGGCCAGCAATGTAGCTCAGTGGCACCATGCCTTCCTGGCAATTGAAAGGTTCTGAGTTTGATCTCTGGTATCTGATAATGATTTTATATATATATTCTTTATTATTAATAAATATTCTTTATTATTTATTATTTATTATTAATAAATACTTTATTATTGATATGCATTCTTTATTTTTTATTCTTTATATATATATATATAAAGAATATTTATGCTTTATTTTTTTCTGAAGTGTAGTATTGAGATTCCCCACTAGTATTGTATTGGTGCTTATTTGATTCTTCATGTTCCTTAATATTTGTTTTATATAGTTGGGTGCACTAGTATTTGGTGCATATATAATTATGATTGTCATCTCTTCCTCTTGGATTGTTCCCTTTACAAGGAAGTAGTGACTTTATTTGTCTCTCTAAATTAGTTTTGGCATGAAATCCACTTTGTCTGAAAATAACATAGCTATCCCTGCTTTTTTCCAGGTTTCCTGTCACATGGAGTATTGCTTTCCATACTTTGGCTTTCAGTCTAAGAATTTATTTTGAACTAAGTGTGTTTCCTCTATGCAGCAAATTAGTGGATCTTGCTTCTTGATCCATTCTGCCAGTCTATTTGATTAGTGAATTGAAGCCATTAACACTGATGGTTATAACTGATATGTACTGATTATCCTTGTCATGACATTTTCCTGTGGTTGGCTATTTTATTTTTTATTTTCCCCCCTTTCCATTGAATTTCTTGCCTTGCCTGATGGCTTCATTCTGTTCGGGTTCATAGTGTTGTGACCCTCATGGTGTTTTTCTAGGATATTGTTCAGAGTTTTTTGGAGTGCTGGTTTGGTATTCATGTAGTTCCTCAGGTGTTCTTTTTGTGAAAGTATGTCATTTCTCCATCGATTTTGAAAGTCATTTTTTCAGGGTACATCAATATGGGATGAAGGTTGTTTTCTTTTAGGGCTTGAAAAACTTTATTCCAGACCTTCTTAACTTGAGGCTTTGTGTTGAGAAGTCTGCTGTGATTCTGATAGAATATCCCTTATATGTGATTTGCTTCTTTTGTTTGATTTTAACATTTGTTCTTGGTTTCTGGAATCTTGACTATTATATGCCTAAGTGTTGATTTTTTTTATCATGGCTAATTGAATTCCTATTTGCCTCAATTATCACATTGTCACATTCTTTTCCTCTGCTTGGGGAGTTTTCTGCCATTACTTCTACGAACAATTTTTTGTGTCATTTGCACAATCTCCTGCTTCTTCATTGACTCTGATCAGTCTTATGTTATTCTTTGCATCATCTGGCTTATGCTGGATTGATTTCTCATGGTCCATTGCCATGTTTAAGAAATCACTTTTCTAAATTTGATTTTCTGTCCTCACATTAGCTCATTTTGCTGTGTATAATTTTAATGGAGCTCTTAATCTTCTGGATATCTGTTTGAATCTGTTTCATTGGATCCATCTCTTTCCTATGCTGGGCATTTATGGTTTCCATCATATTATTTTTTTCCAGTACTAGAAATTGAATTCAGGACCTTGTGCTTGCCAGGCAAGTATGGCACCACTGAGCTCAATCCCCAGCTCCATCATGGTCCTGAGCTCCTCTGGTTGTTTTTATCTGTTTCTGTCCTAGAGTGACTAAAGCATGTCTTTCATTCTGGTCACCATTTCTGTAGTAATCTGGGAGATTATTTCTTTTTTGATTTTTTTCTAGAGTCTTATTCATCTATTTCATTACTTCCCTTGTTATTAGCTCAGAAAGTCCATATAGTTGACTTTTGGGATGTTCCACTTTGTTGCCCCCTGGATTTGCCTTTGGTGAGCTGGAAATCTGGGTTTCCACCTTGTTTAGGTGTGTTCTGATTTTTATTTTTTTGTTGTTAATATTTTTGGTTTAATTCCTGGGTTGATACTTGTATATTGCTTATTGTGAGTATCTTTATTGATAGTATTTAGATCCCTTAGGGAATTATTACTTCTCAAAGGTGTCTTCCGGGTATACCTGGTCATTGGGCTTTGAGTCTTTAATGACCCTTAGGCAATCTCAGTTTTAGTATACAAGAAGGACAACTAACTAGGACAATCACATCACTTTGACAAAGTAATATAATCAGCAGCATCAAACACAGCTTAGAAAATGAGAAATTGTGCTATTAATCTGGAACTTTTAACTGCATGAAGTAGACTTGTGTTTATATATTAAAATAAAGGACCAACCAGCAATAAGTTTTCAGTAAATAAGCCCTTCAATATAGTGAATTTACCCTCCAGGAAGAAGACTTAGAAGGAATTGGGGAAAAGGGTAGAAAGATAGCAGAGGGAAAGTTTAGGAATTGGGCCAGAAGACACAGGGAGATTGTGCAAACTTTGAGAAACTGGTGAGAAGAGGAGGAAAAGAGAGAAGGAAGGAACAAAAACAAGAAGAGAGCAATCTAACAGAAATGGGAAAACTAGAAACTGTATTTACTCTCCTGAAAAATTAAGAACAATAAAGAAAAAAATAAGACAAAAACAGGAACAAGAAAGGAGA